GGAAAAATGGGGAAAATAATGAATATGATATGTTTTGATAATTTATTATGTGAAATTTGTTAATAAAAACATTTTTTTAAAAAACTTTGCTTCAGGATGAGAACAGAAATCACGAGGAGTTGGTGCGGTGGCAGTGGGAGGCCCCATTAGCTAAAGTGGTACCTCAGGTTAAGAACAGTTTCAGGTTAAGAAGGGACTTCCAGAATGAATTAAGTTCTTAACCCGAGGTACCACTGTACTATTTTTCTAGAAGAGGAGGTGCTGAAACTCACCATAAACGCCTCCCTCGTTCTCTTAGAATGGCAATGGTGCCCACCTGAGAGGCACCAGAACCCACCTGAGAGGTGCCAGAACTGAGTTCTGGCAAGTTTCAGCTGGGGGGGAAAGCCCTGCAGATAAGTAACCAAATTTACTAGCAAATTCTTGGGGTTCTGAGGAGGATTTCAGTGTGAGAAGGTATAGCTTCCATTCCACTAAGGCGTTAATACTATAACAGTGTTTTTTTTAAATAATAATAATAACCACTATTTTTTTACGTTATAAACTGCCCTCTGATCCTCAGATGAAGGATGGTATAGAAATTTATGAAATAACAAAATAATATTCATAGTAGACCTCCCCCACTCCTTATACTCCAGTCTACAGTTTTTGTGCAGATGTTGGACCAAGTTCAATGTGGGAATCGGCCACAAGAATTTGACTTGCAGACATAGGTTTGTACGTGTGGAGGCCCCATTTAGACAGGGCACACCGATGTGGAGGTTGCAGGTGGTGCTGTCACACCAAATCCATGCCTAGGTCTGGATTGGACCTCCAAAGTATTGTACAAAGCAGTTGGTAAGTTTACAAGCTTAAAAAGCTTTCTGTGGAGTCCAGATGTTGATTAAATAATTATCAAATTCCTCATCCTAAAATTCTGGTTGTCTCCTTGCAGAGAAGTAAGCAAACAACCCTTAAATCAGGGGTTGGCAACCTAAGGCCCATGGGCCACAAGCAGCCCATGGGGGTTGTTTAACCGGCCCATGGACCCCCGCTGCCCACTTGGGGACCCCTGCTGCCCACTCGGTTGGCTCCCATGCACCGTGCTAAACCGGCACAGAGCAGACCAGGGACTGCCTTCCGCAACGCTGGCTGGCTTCCCATTGGCTGCAGGAAGCTTCTGAAGCCAATGGGAATAATAATAATAATAATAATAATAATAATAATAATAATAATAATTTATTTGTACCCCGCCCATCTGGCTGGGCACACCTCCTCCACGCCGGAAGGAGCGCTGGAAATAGTGTTTGCGCATGCATGCGTGTGGGCACTCTGACCCGCTGCAGCGTCTGCGGGACCGTGAACCGGCCCAAGCCACAAAAACTTTGCTGACCCCTGCCCTAAATGGTGAAAGGCACCTGCAATCTGACCACAATCTTCATGAGCTAGCCACATTCAGTGCAGTCTCCCTTTATACCATTAGTAGCTAACTTTTGCTGCAAGTGGACCATTAAGTCCAAAGTAGGAGATACAGCCCCTTTAACACACATTTCATTGCAGATGTAGACCCTCTATGGTTTGGGGAGTTTTGCCTCTAATCTACTAAGTAAGAGGTGGGACGCGGGTGGCGCTGTGGGTTAAATCACAGAGCCTAGGGCTTGCCGATTAGAAGGTCGGTGGTTCGAATCCCCACGACAGGTTGAGCTCCCGTTGCTCGGTACCTGCTCCTGCCAACCTAGCAGTTCAAAAGCACCTCAAAGTGCAAGTAGATAAATAGGTACCACTCTGGCGGGAAGGTTCTGGAGGGCTCCAGGGAAGAAGCAGAGGCTGGACGCAGCACCTCCTGGCATCAGCTCACCACCCTCGCCCACCTCCACCATGCCACGCTAAAGCAGCACCGTGCCCGGAGCCTCCGTCTGCCGTGGCCACCATGGCACAAAGCGGCCATCTGAGCCGGGAGGTGCAGCGTCCAGCCTCCACCTCTTTCCTGCCGGAGGAGCCACCCTCCAGCCGCTGCCCGCCTCCTCCAGCCCCGCCGGCAGTGCCGTCCTCCCTAAAAAGCTCTGGGAAATGGGGGGGCGCCAGAGGGAGCTTTGCACCATGGCGCCGGATATGCTTAAGACGGCCCTGCTGAAGGATATCCTCTTAGCCCCAGGCAAGGAGGATATGAGCCGAGAGGGAGGGAGGGAACTACCGTAGATTCTGGTGTATTAGGTGACTGGGCGTATAAGACGACCCCCAACTTTTGCTGTTCAATTTTAGAGTTTTAGAGTTGTGGTTCGAGGACCCGATCCCCGCGTAGTGGAATGAAAACACACGGACACGTGATATAAGGTTAATGGGCAAGGAAAGGCCACAACTTTATTGATTACAGCAAGTGAAAAGGTATTGGCTTAGGCATTGGATTACGTCAGCTGACTCCACCCCCTCAGAGAGGGGTGAGTCTAAAACAGGGGGGTTTATTGACCAGTAGGTGGAGCCTGTTGATGCTAATCCAACTATAAGCTCTCCCCTGATGTCACCGAGGGTCGTGCCATGGCCTCCTGCCACGCAGGCATCGGACAGAATACACGACCGCCAGATTCCTTTAACAGAATACCCAAAATTGAAGGCGCAGGCGATGGCCACACCTAGCCCTTCGACACACCACAACACATTATTCCAATGCCTAACCTACCCACCAATACCAAGAAAGTTATGACGATTGCTATGAGGTAGGCGAAAAAACCAAAAAGCCTAATGCCAAATGGGAAAATTCCTACCAGGCCCCCCGGACAACCAGGGCGACCAACCTAAGGTCCATAGCAAGGCCAAACGAAAACTGAGACCCTGAGCTCTAAGGGAGTAGAGGGTGGGTGACTCGCGACGGGACGATGAAAAGTGAGGCCGGAAGGCTGGTGCCGCAGCAATTTAGGCTGCTAAACACGCCCCCTCACAGGCACCTGGTTGGGTGCCTGCCCGTGGGCGTGGGCCCCAGCCAGGTGAGTGGGAGGCAGGGGGCTAACGCCCCCTGCTTGAGGCAGAGTCCGGCTCCTGACCACAACCACTCCCCTCTCTTGCAGGAGGAGAGTCTTTATAGAGTTTGAGCGCCTCCAGGGGCAGAGCGTGCACCTCCGCTGCCTCTGCCATCACAGCAGCAGCAGCCCGAGGTTGCTCAGAAGGACTTTCCACGTCCCCTTCTGTGGGGCGGGAGGAGGAACGACGGCAGAAAGGGCGCCTCTGCTCACCAGCTCCCTCTCCTCCGTCCCAACACGTATACCCAGCGTATAAAACGACCCCCAACTTTTGGTGTGATTTTCCAGAGATAAAAAGTCATCTTGTACACCGGAACATATGGTAACTTACCTGTGTTCATACGAGGGTCCTACTGAGAAGAACCATAAAAAGCAAGTATACCAAAAGCAATGATGATGACAACAAGAAATATTTAGGGGGCAAACTTTGTCCAAACATTGCCATATTAGCAAAGTCCACCCCTGTGTGAGGGGGTGTGGCTGAAGAGTGGGTGTGGCCTGGGGAAAGTCCTGAGGGCCAATCAGAGAAACCTACATTTGGCCCACAGCCTGATGCTTCGTGATGCAATCTTGGGCTAGAGCCTGGAGGAGGCACTTGGCAGTATTGAAGGGAGTTGAAAGAGGTTCCTCAGGCTTCCCTTGATGTTCCTCTCCCTCCTTCTCCACCCCCTACCCAGTGCTTCCTCTCATGCATTTGGAAAGTCAGGCAGATTTTGCAGAAACTATAAAAGCCTTTCTTTCCAGAGGAATGAACACACTGTGACCAGCACTCCTTCTTTCAAAACACTACTGGTTATCTGAACGCCCACCCCTCTGTTGTCTGTCTTCACCCTTGATTGTCTGAACCTGCTGTGAGTGGGTTCAAACCATACACCGTTGCAAAAAAGTAGAAGGGTTGTGCAAGAAATATAGTGCAGAATTGTAGCACATGCTGCATGCTTTAATGTGCAGATAACAACATTCTGGTCTCACTGCACTAGGGCAAGAGTTGTCAATGTGATGTGCTCCAGATGTGTTAGTCTGTGGACACATATTTTTTCCCCAAATTTTTTTATTGATTTTCCACATTTACCACAAAATGACATAACAAAACACACAACAAAGAAAAACACACTACAATACAATAACATTAAACACAGGAAAAAAATATTTCTTCAAATACCTAATTCTCATAACATTGATAACTGACTTCCTCAAATCCCCTCTAACGGAATTTCATTATATCACCTTTATAACAGTTCTCATATTTCTAATAATTAACTCCTTTCATTTACTAACCTCTTCTCCTTTATTAATATTCTAATCCTTAATATTTACTACCACGTATCCTTATTCTACCCCTAAGCCTTTTTGTTACTTCCAAGGATTTTCTATTTATCTTATATTACAATATTTAGCTAAATATTCTTTGAATTTCTTCCAATCCTCTTGTGTCTCCTCTTCTTTCTGGTCACGGATTCTTCCAGTCAGGTCAGCCAGCTCCAAAAAGTCCAACATCTTCATCTGCCATTCTTTTATTGTTGGTATTTCTTGTGCTTTCGAATTTTTGGCTAATAATAGTCTTGCCGCTGTAGTGGCATAGAAAAACAGTCTAACATCTTTCTTGGGCAATTCCAGTCCTAGTATTCCAATTAGAAAGGCTTCTGGTTTCTTAATAAATGTATTTTTCAACATTTTTTCCACTTCATTATAAATCTTTCCCCAGAAGTCTTTCACCTTGGGACATGTCCACCACACATGAAAAAAGTACCTTCTTTTTCTTTACATTTCCAACATAGATTATCGTTAGTATGATAGATCTTTGCTAGTTTCACCGGGGTAGTCTGTGGACACGTTTAAAGCACTCTTACTCCACTTTAACAGCCATGACTTTCCCCAAGGAATCCTGGGAAATGTCATTTGTTAAGGGTGCTGAGAGTTGCTAGGAGACTCCTGACAGAACTATGGCTCCCAGCAGACCTTTTTTCCTTTTCAGCTGGAGCTCTCCAGAACTCAGTTCTGGCACCACTCAGGTGGGTGCCATTGCCATTATAAAAGAACAAGTTCGTGGTGAGTTCTGGTACCTCTTTTTTCTAGAAAAATAGCATTGGTCCCCAACACCCTAACAACCAAAACCAGAACTCAGGAAGAAAGTCCAAAATTTTAATAAGGAATGGGGAAAATATATAATTTACCTTAAAAACCATTGCAAACAATTAAAATTATTAGTAGGATTGGAATAACACTTGTGGTTGAATTTTGGGTATAATGGAGATTTAAAAGGGTTTGGATTAATAGACAAGATGCAGGAGGAAAAGGACCCACAATGGGAAGGAGGAAAGTTCAGGAGATTCCTTGGAATTCTCGTTCTGTGTTGGTTGTTTGATAATTGTGTGTAGCATTTTAAAATCTGAAAAACTAAATAAAATTTTGAAAAATGAAATAAATGGAATTGTTCTCCCTAGTATTCTACATGGAGGGATGATGAAGATGAAGATTTTTTTGTATGGAGGGGCATTCAACCATGCTAGCCTCTCCTTTAGGGTGGGCAAGCTGTGGCACTCCAGATGTTGTTGGACAATATAGCCAATGGTTAGCAGTGATGGAGGCTATATTCCAACAACATCTGAAGGGTGCCAGATTTGGGAAGATCAGTCTATGCAGAGGTTTACTACCTCTGTGAAAACCAGACCTAAATCACATTACAGAAAAATCTGCCTCCATATGTATGTTAGAAAGTACTATCATTAAACCAAACACCTTTCTTAATTATTATAACAATGGAATCTTTCTTAATTATAAGATTTATCTGCCCACAACTTTTCTTTATGAGCAAGCAGGGAAGTGGTCAGCCCAGGCAAGGCCCTGAGAGCTGTATGCAGGTCTGATAGTTAATAAGAAAAAAATCATTACTGCCTTCATTAAGATAGGTGTTAATTTAATTACAGTGCTCTGCAGGATAGGTGGAGAGACTTCCAGGCAAACTTCAAAGTCACCAGTGCTCATTTCAGATATCTTTTAGGCATCAATGCCCATTTAAGAAACACTTCTCTAACTCTTAAGCAAAAGCTAAGAGCACAGGGGGTGGGGCAGGGAGTTGAGACAGAGATAAGCAAGTAAAAGTGCCGGCAAATTAAGAAACTTGTTTGGAAGAAGGGTGCAGAACATCACATTAAATTAAATTAATCATCAACCTGTAAAGGCAGTGTCTGCGGTGTGATTCATGGCTTGCCACTCATTGTGGGCTGGGTCTGGCACTCTTAAGTCTTTGCGCTCAAGGTAGTCAATTTCATTCAGGTCATTGTTAAATAGGCACATTCCAAGAAGGTCTCTTCTCATGGGCTGCACCTGCCACTCCAGTTTGGCCACTCCCAAGACAGAAGAAGAACCCCGTGATTTACTAAGTGCTGATCGCTCCACAGACATCTGTCTCTTGACATGTCTTTGTCTGAAGGCTCATACAGTGGCGCCTTTGTCCTAGTCACTCTCTTGCTAACCCTCCCCACCAGCACATCTTATTATAGAGTAAGGTTTCTTCCCCACCCACCCCATCCTTATTGTTGCAGATTTCCCTTTTTATTTTAATTGTGAAGAGGAAGATCATATGGTCTGGTTTTACACACACACACACACAAACACACACATCCCTCTCAGCCCTTCACTCTAATAAGAGGCACACACAGAGAGATGCACACACATGCAAAAGGGAGAAATTGTGTGCATGAGAATTGACCAGAGGGGGGGGGGGGGACAGGTGGTAAGGTAGACATGTGAGAGTTTTATTAAGAAGAGATAAAATCTCCGATGATTTTATTTTACTGGGTGAACTCTCTTAGAACTGTAGGGAAATAGATTTGCGAGATGAAAAAAGAATTCTCTTAGTCCTCTTTGAAGCAGATTTTTTTTTGGGGGGGGAGGCGCAAAAGAAAGTGTGTCATCCAGCCAACTCAGTCAGATAATCCAATAAAAACAGCCCTCCGAGGGCCATTGCTATGGCCACCTAGAGGGCGAGGTTGCCTTTTCTAGGCTCCCTTATTCCTAGCGAAATAGGCTGCTTTAATGGGCAGAGAGTGCTCAAAGCTGCTTCCTTAAAGGTCCATTAATGGCTTTGGGTGGCTGGTGGCTTGTAGCTTGAACACCGACTCTACCAGCTTGGGTGGATGCAGAAAAGATATATTTTTGACTGTGGCCTGCAGCAGGGAGGCAAAAGTCCAGGTTTTGCAGCTGGCTGACCAGAAGGTGCCTTGGAGGGTTCCAAGGGCAATCTTTTAAAAAGACTGTCTGTCTGGATGCCTGCCTGCTCTTCATGCTTGCCTTCCTTAAACTTCCCAGCATTCAGGGAGATGAGAATACAAAAAAAAAAAGTATTATGTAAACTAGGGCTAAATTACCCTTTCTATCTTTTTTTTATTATTTTTATCGTAACCATAGTTGGAAATTAGCCATGGGAAGCTTGCTAATCATGAGTCGAGACGAAGCTGTTTGCTTCCACCAGTGGCATTTGGAGTAGTGGTCATCAACATCATAAAAAATTTATTACCTGGCCTTCACCATGCAGCTGGTCCAAGGGTGGCTTACAACAATTAAAATATTAAAACAGTTAAGAGTACAGTCACAGGAATAGGGTGCAACAACATGTTTTCAGACTACATCTCCCATTGAACCCAACCATTGGCCATGTTGGCCTGTGCTGATGTGAGCTGCAGTCCACAACATGTTGTTGACCATCCCAGGGACAGATAGAGCTAGCTGGAATTGATTTATAAATGGTGCAGGGAGTCTCCAAGTCTCCTGGTTTTCCAGGGACAGTCTCAGGTTTACAGAAGCCATCCTGGTTTCTGATTTGATCCCAGAGTGTCCCACTTTTCCTTAGGACACCCCTATTTTCATTGGAGAAATGTTGGAGGGTATGGTAGGACGTCCCTGTTGACCAATGGTCTGGGATAATGGGAGTGGTAGTCCAACTGTAGGTTGCCATGTTGGCTACTCCACTATAAGATGTGTACAGTGGTACCTCAGGTTACAGACGCTTCAGGTTACAGATGCTTCAGGTTACAGACTCCGCTAACCCAGAATAGTACCTCGGGTTAAGAACTTTGCTTCAGGATGAGAACAGAAATCGTGCAGTGGCGGCATGGCAGCAGCAGGAGGCCCCATTAGCTAAAGTGGTACCTCAGGTTAAGAACAGTTTCAGGTTAAGAACAGATCTCCAGAACGAATTAAGTTCTTAACCTGAGGTACAGCTGTATAGGACCTGAACAGCTGGCTGTCAACCTTTGCAGCTCTACCTCTTTCTATCCAAGTAGCATTTATGTGCTGTAAACAGCACAACACATATACACCCAACCCTGCCCCAAAGTAATTATCCAAATCCTTTTGCCTTGATTATTTTTCAATCTTCCCTTGAAATTACGTTCAATCTATGAATAAGAAACAATGGCAAATCCCCCCCACCTCCGCCATCTCCCATGGCTTCTGTTTGCCTCCATATTTCAGGGCCGTTTGTCAATTCTGGCAGCCTTAATTTAGAACTTACTTTGTGACTCAGTTTTATGGAGAGGAGAGCCTCTCTGAAATTACTTCCTTAAGGATCCGTATTTTAATAGTCTGTTTTGTTTTTATGAAGATAGCGCCAATCTTCACTTAAGAGAGTCCAACCTTTGTTCTAGTTGCATCACTTCCAGATCCTTATTAGCTATCACTTCTTTCATTGACAGGTTTTACATGGGACTTCCTGTATACAAAACAGATGATCTACCACAGGGTTATGGCCCTTCCCTATATACTTTCCCAGGTCTTCCTTTGTGGACTAGTCATTTTTTTTTTCTGGCATATGGAGCTGGAATTGTTAGTACAGTGGCCTTTGTGCTGACTTAATGAAAGGTGGACTTCCAATACGGCTTGCAACCTTACATGAGGCTCTCCCCAGTCTCCCTTGCTAAGTTGTTCCTTTCAGTTTCTTAGAGAATTTCTACACCACCAGAAAACTGTGCGAAAGAGCCCTCAGGGATTTTTACCACCTCGGGTCTTCTCCTCCCTGTATGTCTGGATCAGGGTATGACGCTTTTCAGCATGACTTGGCAAACTGGTTGCATTCTCTTGAATAAGGTTTCATCTCTTCATGGGAGTTACTGTACTTTTCCATGTATAAGACGAGGTTTTTTTACTCTAAAGTAATGCTAAAAAGGGACGTGGGTGGCGCTGTGGGTTAAACCACAGAGCCTAGGACTTGCCGATCAGAAGGTCGGCGGTTCGAATCCCCACAACGGTGTGAGCTTCCGTTTCTCGGTCCCTGCTCCTGCCAACCTAGCAGTTCGAAAGCATGTCAAAGTGCAAGTAGATAAATAGGTACCGCTCCGGCGGGAAGGTAAACGGCGTTTCGGTGTGCTGCTCTGGTTCGCCAGAAGCGGCTTAGTCATGCTGGCCACATGACCCGGAAGCTGTATGCCGGCTCCCTCGGCCAATAAAGCGAGATGAGCGCCGCAACCCCAGAGTCGGCCACGACTGGACCGAATGGTCAGGGGTCCCCTTTACCTTAATGCTAAAAAACTGGGGCTGCCTTATACAGTGGACGCTTGGGTTGCGAACGTGATCCATGCGGGAGGCACGTTTGCAACCCGCAGCGTGTGTCTGCGCACACAAGGGTTGCAATTTGGCGTTTCTGCGCATGCACAAAGAGCAATTTAGCACTCCTGCACATGCACGAGCACTGAAACCTGGAAGTAACCCGTTCTGGTACTTCCGGGTTCAGCGCAGTGCACAACCTGAAAACGCGCAACCTGAAGCGTCTGTAACCCTAGGTATGACTGTACACAGATAGTGCATAGGGAGGACGGGTGATTGGTTGCAGCAGAGAGCTGCAGCTTGTAAGTGGTGATTTGGTGGCTGATTGGTGGCTGGGTCAAGGGCTGCTTTTGATTGGCTGCTGCTGCGGCAATTGGATGTACAATTCCCGACTGCTGTTTGTAAGCGGGCAGACACTTGTTGGTTTCTGCGGCGTTTGTCCATGTTTGTCTGTCGGATTAGTGATGTTCTGCATTCCCCCCCCCAAACAAAACACTCAACAACTTTCGGCCATCTCCCCCATTTTCTTAAATTAGAGTCCCCCAAAATAAATTAGAGGTATCTTATACATGGGGGCATGTTATACATGGAAAAATATGGTATGCCTCTAGCCTGCTGTGAAGGAAACTAGATTCATAGCTCTTGGAGAATGTGCTCACATTTTTTGTTTGTTTGTTTGTTTTATATACTGCCCTTTATCACAAGATCTCAGGGTGGTTCACAAGATAAAAAATACAGCATAAAAGCACATGTACATAGTTAAAACAAAAACAACAAAATAATCACACACACATCCAAAAACCACATTTAACCAGCCAAAGGCCTGGTTGAAGAGGAATGTTTTCACCTGGCACCTAAAAATATATTATGAAGGCACCAGATGAACCTCCCTGGGGAGAGCATTCCACAAATGGGGGGCCACTGAAGAAAAGGCCCGCTCTCATGTTGCCACCTTCCAGGCCTCACGTGGAAGAGAGCTCCTCTGCTTTTCAAAGACAACAAAAACCCACTGAGTTGAAAGCTCCACCTCATCTCTTGAAGTCAAAGGAAGCTTCAGCCTAGTTCAGCACGCTGCTTGGAGGATTGTGAGGGTTTTATTATGTGGTTTATGCAGTTGTGGCTGTTGTTTTGCATGTATCGGTCCAGCTATTAACTCTCAGCCTTGTCCACAGCTCTGAGGACCTCAGAAGAAGATCAGGCTACAGAAATAAGAGAAAGTGCTTCTGTTGCATCAGAAGAATCTTCCTCCATGTTTCATGCTTTCCATCTGAGGAACCTTGTCGCCACGTGTGAAGTACTAGAATGCACTCGAAAAGAGATATTGTTTTATTACTAAGCTCTAAGCTGCTTTGATATTCAGAGAGCACGAGCAAAATGATTAAGCTTCCCACAGGCTTGTGCTCACTTCATGATGTAAATCAAACAATCAAATTAGTTTTCTGGGAGCCAAACCCATTGCCAGTTGATCCTTAGTCCTGATCAAAGATAGGCATATCTCCTAAAATATATTACAAATAGAAAACAGACATGTGTGTGTGTGTGTGTGACAAACATTCCAATTTTGGGAAAGGTGCCCAAATCCAGCCTTACATGCCTCCTGAGGGGAATGAGCAAATCTGTGGATTAAGAACAAAGGAAGTTTAACCATTTTCCACACACTTAGCATTAGCCAGGAGATGCACCTTTCTCAAGTGTGTGGGTGTAAATTCACCTGCTCCATCTGAGGCAGGTGATTTATTTCTGTTTAGGTTGCACAGTTAAAAAATGATAGCAATCTTCTACAAACGAGAAACACAACATGGGGCAAATCGCCTGGGGCCTCTCCCAGGCAGATAAGCCTACCTTTGAGAAGCTGGCATTAGGTAAGAATGAAAGCGCAGCTTTTAATCAGGCATTTATATGCATGACAAGAATTAACCCTTTGAGCTGCTTTGTGGAAGGGAATGGGAGAGCACTTTCAGAGCAGGGGGAGCATTCGGGTTTCAGGTGTGGGTGTGTGAGAGAAAGAGAGGTGTCAATATATGCATACAGTGGTACCTCGGGTTAAGAACTTAATACGTTCTGGAGGTCCGTTCTTAACCTGAAACTGTTCTTAACCTGAGACACCACTTTAGCTAATGGGGCCTCTCGCTGCCGCCGTTCTCATCCTGAAGCAAAGTTCTTAACCCGAGGTACTATTTCTGGGTTAGTGGAGTCTGTAACCTGAAGCGTCTGTAACCCGAGGTACCACTGTATTGTGGCGTAGGTGTTCAAGATTCTCAGCAAGATCTGCAGGTCCACTTTAATCTATTCAGGACTGTGTGGCAAAAACAAAGAACTCACCAACAACTCTTTCAGGAGCATTTGTTGTGATTTGATTACTGTTTAAGTCATGGGTAGGCAACCTAATGAGATCCGGCCCAATCGCCTTCTAAATCTGGCCTGTGAATGGTCCAGGAATCAGCGTGTTTTTACATGAGTAGAATGTCTGCTTTTATTTAAAATGCATCTCTGGGTTATTTGTGGGGCATAGGAATTCGTTCATTCCCCCCCAAAAAAATATAGCCTGGCCCCCCCACATGATCTGAGGGACAGTGGACCGGCCCCCTGCTGAAAATGTTTGCTGACCCCTGGTTTAAGTTTCTCACAATAACAGCAAATTAGGAGGCGGCCATTCTTTCTTTTTTGAGCAAGCAAATGAGTATGTTTTGGATGCATACCTAGGACCAACACGGGTCCATTTAATTGTTTATATTACAACAGTCCCTCAGCGTGTCATATGAGCAAATTGCCCAGAAGCACAGATTTCCTCAGAAGAGCTCTTTAGCATTGTTGAGGCATTGCTTTTCTATAATTGGTTGGCTGTGGAAATTAAATGGAGGTTTTGCACAGCTCACTATGCTGATATATTCTAGCATTGCCCCTCTGACACTTCTGCAGTGCTTACTCACAAGTAAACATTCCATTCAGCAGTGACCCTTTTCAGTGTTAATTAAACATTTCTTGTTGACAGGTCCTACTTTTTTGCTTCCCACTGATCTCAGCTAGTGTAGTCATGATGGATAGTCTTTTTATTTTCCCATGTTCCCCCAAAGCAAAAAGGCTTGTAATAACTGGTTCCCTCACATTTTAATATAGTGAAATTTTCTATTTTGCCATAAATAATAGAAAATAAAATAATGAGAAAAAGTCACGTTTAAAGCCCTCACCTTATCTCATGCCTTAGAAACAGAAACTGGGTCAAGTATGAGGTTATTCCATCACTTTTCTCCAGCTAAGCACAACAGGAATCAATAAAATTGACAGGATCTCCAAACAGGAAACTTTTAACTAAAGGCATAGAAGCCCTGAAATGACTCAGTAGCATATTACTATCCCACAATGGACATTTACATACTGTTTCGTCTACCTTCTAAAACTTACAGTCAGTTCAGCTCTGCTCAGACCTGGAACATGAAGTCTTCTGTGAATAGGAGTGGTGGAGAGCAGGAGACCTCAATGCCGGCGATCCTGAAGAAGATGGATGTACAAATCTGAGAGTTTTGGTGCTCTCTGTTTCTCACTTTCCCAACCTTAAATTCACTTCTATGAATTAGGTAAGTTTGCCTTTAAACGTGAACAGCATTGAATTTCTCTTCATCACTACTGAAAAGACAATGGATCTGGAGCAGGGGTATAGGGTTATTAGGTTGTCTGGGCTCTTGGCTGGCTCTTAGGCCCTCGTTCATCTACCCCAGGACCACTGGAGCAGAGGATCCAGTTTCAGCGTCACCAAAATACCTGGATGGGAGCATGTGGGGCGACTAAGGAGGGGGAAATACAGTGGTACCTCGGGTTAAGAACTTAACTCGTTCCGGAGGTCCGTTCTTAACCTGAAACTGTTCTTAACCTGAGGCACCACTTTAGCTAATGGGGCCTTCCACTGCTGCCGCACGATTTCTGTTCTCATCCTGAAGCAAAGTTCTTAACCCAAGGTACTATTTCTGGGTTAGCGGAGTCCGTAACCTGAAGCGTCTGTAACCTGAAGCGTCCGTAACCCAAGGTACCACTGTACATGGAAGCACCTGCCTGGATCAGGACCTGCATCAGACCCAGGAAGGAGTGGAACATTCACCTCCTATAAACGCTACCAGCCTAAGTTTCTCTAAGGTCTAACACCCAGCCTTCTTGAGCTGTGGAAATGGACACTTATTGCAGGTTTTGATGAAATGCCTTTTTATGAATTGCTGAGGATGTACAAAAAAATCATACTCTGTTTCAGTGCAGAAGTCAGGTGAAGAGTCTCTCTCCCTCCACAGCTTCTGTACAATGATGACTTTGTTTAATTGATGGTTGAAGGAAAACCTGTAAACTGTATACCATTTATTAGGTGTTTTAAACTGTCTACTAAAACGGTGCCCAGCTTGGTGGTTACTGCAGATGCTATCATAGCCATAGTAATCCTCAATAATTTTAGCAGCTAATAAACCTGGCCCTCAGTCTGGATTTACTTCTGTGGGCAGCAGGAGGCAGCGATTCAAGTATTTTAACAATATGCACATTTAACTAAACCCTCAGTGTCCTGAACTGAAGGGAAAAAACCCCTCATTTGCCTGCTGCTACAAATTCTGATGCTGTATCTTCATAACTAAAACATTTTGGGGTGGATCTTGAGCTGAGGCATTATACATTTTAAATATGGCAGGTATGGTTTTCATGATGTACATACTTGTGTATCTCCTTGCTATGCCATGTAATGTAATATATTTGTGTCAGAGCTTAGAAAGCTTTTTTTTTTTTAAGAAACTAGTTCTAGCTCAACATGTCCAGAAATGAACTAATTCCAGCTCACGTTCTTCCCTTTAGAAAATGAACTAGTTTGGTACATGTTCAGTTCAAAGTTCAATTCAAGATTGTCCAAATGATCCCTGGCTCTCTTAAATAAATAAATCAGCATTAAGAATGTTACAGGCTGCTGTACCTAAGACTAAGGAAACATCAAAACACAAATAGTGGAATGAGAATTGTTTGTTTTCTCCAGCAATTATTATCTTCAATCTTAAAGGCCCCCAAGGTCTAAAGAGTAAAAATAAAGTCCCACTATTTTTCCCCCAATGCTATTTAATATCTATGTGAAGTTGCTGGAAGTAGTCGTGAGGAGTTTTGGGGCAAGGTGCCATCAGTATTTCTCCATAATATTTGAATTGGGAAAAGCCATACAGTCCCTGAGGCAGTATTTGGATGCAGTGGTGATATGGATGAGGGAAAATAAGGTGAGCTTTAACCCTGGCAAGACAGAGGTGCTGTGAATAGTTCATGTGCCCAAGAAATTGGTCAACTGCCTGTTCCCCTCAAGAAGCAGGTTCAAAGTCTTTGTCACTGGAAGCCCAGATAGCCTCAACCTTTTACCAGCTGCAACTCTTATGACCAGTAAAGCTTGTTTGTGCATTGGTTCCTTCCAGACTGGATTACTGCAATGCACTCAATGTGGGGCTTCGCTTGTGCTTCATCCAGGACATTCAATTAGTCCAGAATGCTGAAACACAATGGCTGACATTCATTCAGATTCTCCAGCGCTATACTAGATATGGGTGGATTTCTAACCCCAGTCATGGTGAAATAGGAAGTATGAAAAATGTATGAATATGCAGTTATATCAAAGCTTGCCTGCGGTTTAGGGAAGGCAGAAATTTAATATGTTTAGACAAAATTAAACTTTATTGAACACTGAAATAATAAATGTGCATTCTTCACATGACACAAAAGTTTCTTTTAAAAATTGATATTTGTTTTATAAAGCTATGTATTTTTTTACAATTAAAACATCTGGAGATCTATTCCCAGATTGCATTCATCTGCTCTGTGTTGACCCTAGGAGTTCTGATCTAAAACCCAGATTTACAGTTTGAATTTCTGGAATTATTCATTGTCTAGGCTGAAATATCAACATTTTCCAGAATCCAAGATCAAGGGTTAATAACCTCATTATTCTAGAAATGCCATTTTCAAGTGATTCCATGTGAATCACTTGAAAAGGTCATATTGATAATCCTTCTACTTTAATGTAGACAATTAGAATTAAGCCTTTACAGTTAGGTTCACAGACTCTGCATTAAGGTCTTCCTCTAACAATAGGCTGGCAAGTATTTTTTAGTAATGTGTGGGGCTAAAAGGGTAAATTCTGGGTCCTTTTAATGACAGGAGATAGAGCCAAAAGGTGATAGCTGCATTGTTAAAATGGCTACCAGTGATTCCACTGGATTATCTAGAATCCATTGGACTCCAACCACAAAACAGTTGCCTATCTTTGTCAGTTATACTAGTTCCCTGTTGACAGAGTTCCCTGTTAACAACATGCACTGAGCTATATGAGACCATAAATTCTCATATGTGCCACTTGGCCTTTGCAATGTGATTTAACCGATTTAGACAGCTGCTAGAGAAATAATTCAAAATTCAATCTATCTACCCATCATCTGTCCATCTTGCTCTATTTAAAAATATTTCCCACCTTATAGCCCTGGTGGAACCCCTAAGACGGATTACAAAATGTCAATGTAACAATATGATAAAGTAAAATAATCTTATGAGGTCACCATAAAACCACCAAGACGAAAATGGTGACTAAAATGACCTTCAGATTGGGCATTAGATTTTAGGAAACCTACAATGGTTTTGAAGAACTCCATGAAGGTTTACCCTCTCAACCCCAAATTAGTTCAGGCTCTCAAAAGTGGCAAAACAGCAGTCAGCAAACTTTTTCAGCAGGGGGCCGGTCCACTGTCCCTCAGACTCTGTGGGGGGCCGGACTATATTTTGGAGGGGGGGGGGAATGAACGAGTTCCTATGCCCCACAAATAACCCAGAGATACATTTCAAATAAAAGCACACATTCTACTCTTGTAAAAACACCAGGCAGGCCCCCACAAATAACCCAGAGATGCATTTTAAATAAAAGGACACATTCTACTCATGTAAAAACACACTGATTCCCGAACCGTCCACGGGCTGGATTTAGAAGGCGATTGGGACGGATCTGGGCACCGGACCTTAGTTTGCCTATCCATGGAGTAAAATAATTATAGAACGTAACTTTCTTGGGAAAGGTGAAAGAGAGGGTAATTGTAGAGTAATTGCAGGTATTTCATGAATGAGATTGGTTATCTAGATCCACTACAATCTGGGTTTAGACCTAGTTTCAGAACTGAATCAGCCATGGTCACCCTGATGGATGACCTTTATCAACAGGGGGAATATGATCCTGTTGCTTCTGCTCCATCTCTCAGTTGCTTTTGATATCATTGACCATGGTGGTATCCTTCTGGGCCAGTTCAGTGGTATGGCTATTGGAGGCGGCGTATTATTATGGTTCCATTCTTGCCTCCAGGGACGCGGGTGGCGCTGTGGGTTAAACCACAGAGGCTAGGGCTTGCCAATCAGAAGGTCGGCGGTTCGAATCCCCGCGACGGGGTGAGCTCCCGTTGCTCGGTCCCTGCTCCTGCCAACCTAGCAGTTCGAAAGCACGTCAAAGTGCAAGTAGATAAATAGGTACCACTCCGGCGGGAAGGTAAACGGTGTTTCCGTGCACTGCTCTGGTTCGCCAGAAGCGGCTTAGTCATGCTGGCCGCATGACCCGGAAGCTGTATGCTGGCTCCCTCGGCCAGTAAAGCAAGATGAGTGCCGCAACCCCAGAGTTGGCCACGACTGGAACTAATGGTCAGGGGTCCCTTTACCTTTATTCTTGCCTCCAGGGTCATGATCAAAGAGTAGCACTGGGTGAGTGCTCCTCAACCCTACAGCACTTGTGCTATGGGGTTCTGTAAGGTAGTATATTTCATTCAACTAGTGTAAGTCCCTTGATCTGGTAGAAGCTTTGGGTACCACCCATGGTCCTCCCTGCCCCATTTTTATGCTTATAACAACCCCATGAGGTAGTTTAGGTTGAGAGATAGTGGTCGGCCCAAGGTCCACCAGTGAGCTTTGTTCCAGAGCAATGATTTCTCCCCAACCCTTGTTACAATCTAACCACCACACTGGATCACTCAAACTGTGTTATCATTTGTATTCTCTTTCTTTCATTGGCCAGGATGGTTCCAAAAGCAAAAGTTCGTTTTACATTCCAGCAGACGTTCCTGGATTTGATGTCTTTTGTTGTGGAGACTCCACCTCCTTCTTTTAAGGATTCAAGGATAATTTGCTGTCTGAGGCACTTTTTTAAGAGGGCAGGAGGGGGAGTTGAAATATGTAACTGTCTTCTGGAGCTCTCCAGATGGTCCTGACTTCTCTGTTTGTTTTGTGCTTTTAAACATCTACCAATATCAATTTTAACTTCTCTCTTCTTTCCTCAGTGTCTGTGTGAAAAAGCTAGAGCAAGAAGGCTTGATCCAATGCTTAGGAGAGAGAGTGGGAAGCAGCAGGAATTAACAACAATCCCCCCTCTGTCGTCAAACCCTAGACAAAAACAAGCTGAAGAAACCTATTTCTTTGTTTCAGTGGTCTCCTTTGGTTAAAACCACCCAAAGTATTTCTTGTTACAAAAACAGGTAAAACATTTTCAGACAGGAGAATGATTTTTAAGTTGGCAGTGTCCCTTTAATATTTCATTTTTATTTCCTGTTGTAAATGACAAATTGTTCTGTGTTTTATATCATATCCCTGCAGGCAAACTGGTCATGGGATGTATTTTTGTCTTTTTGTCCTCTTTTCTTTTTCCCTTACCTTTTTTATTTTTTATTTTACTTGGAGAAAAGGCAATAAAATAGAACAATAAAAAACTTAAAATACTCAAATAGATACTATAGTAATGAGCACCTTTGAGATGCCAATAAATACAGACAAGAGGAGAGAAAATTAAGACAAGAGAAAGATCCAGGGTTATGTGTAACTTGTGCTCGTAAAAATAAATTGAAATTCTGTGCAACCCAGACCCTGTGCCAAGGATGGCTGGAGCCTGCAACTTGTTTAGTTATGATACATTCTAAGCAAATTTCCATGTATTTCCTTATATTCATGCTGTATTTTACTTCTGCTAGTCAGAAAATAAACAAATGTCACATTCATACTATACACTATGTGCTTTAGATGTGGTCTGGGGAGAGTTCCCAGGGCCAAATCGATCTGGAGGGCTGCATTTGGCCCCTGAGGCTGGGTCCCTCAATTCTGCCCTATAGCTCCTTGGCCCCTTTTGTGCCTCCTCCTTACCTGCTCTCTTTGAGTGACTAGGCAATGGCAGGCAACGTAGCCACAGCCTCTGCTTGTCTAATTTACTCCTAATTTCTAGTATTCAGCTGGATGTAACTAGTTCCTGTAAGCTGCTAACCTGGAATACAATACAATGCAATGCAATGCAATGCAATGCAAAGTAAGGTAAGGTAAAGGTAAAGGACACCTGGACAGTTAAGTCCAGTCAAAGGCGACTCTGGAGTTGCAGTGCTCATCTGGCTTTCAGACTGAGGGAGCCAGTGTTTGTCCACAGATAGCCTTCCGGCTCATGTGGGCAGCAGGACTAAACCTCTTCTGGTACAATGGGACATCATGACGGAAACCAGATGGCACAGAAACGCCGTTTACCGTCCTGCTGGAGTAGTACCTATTTATCTACTTGCACTAGCATGCTTTCAAACTGCTAGGTAGGCAGGAGCTGGTAAAGAGCAAAGGGAGCTCACCCCATGGCGGGGATTCGAACCACCGACCTTCTGATCGGCAAGCCCAAGAGGCTCAGTGGTTAGTGGTTTAGACCACAGCGCCACAATACAATACAATACAATACCATACAATACAATACAATACAATACAGGTGTCTGGGGTGCTAAGTAACCCATTCTGTCAGTTCAAGGATTTGCAGTTGCTCAACAGAACCGCATCCTTTCCTCCCACTGTGTGCCCCCAAATCTGTTCTGGGGTTACCCCAATCTTCCAGAGCAGATTTTGGGAGCGGGTAAGACACACAGTGGGAGGGCAGGGTGGGTAGAGGGAATTTCCATTGTGCAAGTCTAAATCCTTCCGCTAACACAGGCATCCCCAAACTCGGCCCTCCAGATGTTTTGGGACTACAACTCCCATCATCCCTAGCTAACAGGACCAGTGGTCAGGGATGGTGGGAACTGTAGTCCCAAAACATTTGGAGGACCGAGTTTGGCGATGCCTTCACTAACAGAATGAGGGCATTGGGTACTACCGAAAATAATAGCTGTTTTTTTTTTATAAAAAGCCCTGTCACTAGTAACCACAAGAACTTTGGCTTCAGTATACATGAATAAGGCTTCCCCAGCCACTGACTTAGATGCTAAGTCATTACGGAATGTTTATGGACATTCCGTTTGTTTAAGGGTTTTTTAAACTGTCAGAAGGAAAAAGCCTAGAGACAAATGAGGCTGCGTGTTGTCAATAGGAAGGGGCTTGACGGGGAAGGGAGGAAGTAACGCTGTTGCAGTTGTGCTGTTATTCTGTACGAGGAACGGATGTGACTTTGGAGTGTTTGTACGAGTCTTTCATGTAAGGAGAACGTGAACTTTACATGAGAAAGTGGACTGGGCACAAGGAATATACTATGTGCAAAAAAACCCCCACATTTGTGAATATCACAGCTTTCCACTTGTATGTAAAGGTAAAGGTAAAGGGACCCCTGAACATTAGGTCCAGTAGTGGCTGACTCTGGGGTTGCGGCGCTCATCTCGCTTTATTAGCTGAGGGAGCCAGCGTACAGCTTCCGGGTCATGTGGCCCGCATGACTAAGCCACTTCTAGCGAACCAGAGCAGCGCACAGAAACACCATTTACCTTCCCGCCGGAGCGGTACCTATTTATCTACTTGCACTTTGACATGCTTTCGAACTGCTAGGTTGGCAGGAGCAGGGACCGAGCAACGGGAGCTCACCCCGTTGCAGGGATTCGAACCACCGACCTTCTGATGGGCAAGTCCTAGGCTCTATGGTTTAACCCACAGTGCCACACGCGTCCCCTCCACTTGTATGTAGATAAGGGCCAAATTGGTATCATCGCCAACATTTTTTTACCTCCCCGCCCCCACAAAAAATGCAGCTGGAGGATGTGTGTGAAAGAGAAAGATAAAGAAAGAAATTGAACTGGAGTTGTGATGCAAGTGTGTTAACTCAGCCCTTCCTAGATCCAGTGCTTTATTCTGGGGGAGATGCAGGGGTACGCATACTCCTAAACTTTTTCTGAATCTAAGTTTGGCCTCATTGAGAGGCAGTATTTCAATATGAGTAGGAAAATGAGAGTACCCCTAAACATATTTTTTCCCAGAAAAAAAGCACTGCCTTGATCCAAATCTCTCCCCCCACATACACAGATGCTTTTAGCTTAGAAACAAATATCCAATACCCAGGCCTGGATTTAGGTTTGATGAGGCCCTAAGCTACTGAAGGTAATGGGGCCATTTATATGTCCAGCTGTCCCTTCTCAACAACAAATCGTTGCTGTTTTTTATGTTGAATATATGCTATGTGGTAATTCAGGGACCTAATAGGTATCTCAAGCCATTTGCACATAACAAAATACATATTTTATCAAAGTAATTGATGAACTGAAATAAAGAAGGCATATATTAATAGTGAAATAATTATTAAGCTCTAACTTAAAATTTTGAAAATGTACATCCAGGTTTTTTTTTCTCTTTTAATTTTTTTGGGGCCCCCAAGAGCGTGGGGCCCTAAGCTATAGCTTGTTTAGCTTATACATAAATCGGGCACTGCCAATACCACATCTAGCATGGCTGTACTTTGAGCATGAGAAGAAACTAGAGGTCTTATGAGGCCTCTTGTCTCAGGAAGAGTGGAATGAGAATTATGCCTCAGCCTTTTACTAGCATGGCTCTCTGCTACTTCTGTGGGGAAGGAATGTTCATTACATTGGTGGCATCTGTATACAAGATAAGCCAAAGCACTGTTATGCCTTTAACTGGTGTTTGCAGCAACTGCAAAGCTCATTAATATGTCCATGTAAACAGCTAAGATTGGGGGAAAGAAAAGAAAAGAAATCTGGGGTCAGACTGACCTCGAATCCAGCGAGAACAAGCAACGGGGGTCATTTGGCTAGGACTGCAGTCTTATGTACATTTCCTTGGGTGTAAGCCCTGTTGAACTCAGGGGGCCTGTGGATCATCCAAGCTGGGCTGCACATCAGGTCTCTCATCAGGCCAGAAGGTTGGTAAACACATTATTTCTTTGTGTTCAGTGAGTCACAGAGAGAAGAGAGCAGCACTAGTCACCAGTTCTAGGAAGCCAGAAGATCTGAGGATCAAAAGATGATCAATAACACGATATGTGTGTGATCGAAAGCCAAATTACCAATCAAGCATTGGCAACAGCATACGCTTATTATGTGCCTGCGTTCATGGGTGATGAAGCACATTTAATGAATAATTTACCTGTGATGGAAAATGGTGGCTGACTAATTTTTTTGCGCGCAGGAAATTCACTTGCAGCCGGGCCAGCTGTGAATTAAATAGATGGAAAGTAGTCACGGGTATTCTGAGGCCATGTCAAATGCAGAGCAGAGGAGATAAATCATCACAGAGTTGGCTTGTCTTCTCCATATGTAGGTTATGATTAAATAAGGAGTAGCAAGATCTGGGAAGTCGCTGGTCACATGTGATGGACAAGGGTACCTTTTTGGGAAGAGCAGGTGCAGCAGTCATGACTACCACCCCACCCCATCCCCAGGTATTTCAGACTTCAGGGAGCGCCCAGATCTCCCACCAGTTCACTGGGTGCTTCTGCACATGGAACAACTATTTTAATGGACATAGAAAGGGGATTATATATTAGGTATCCATGCCAAAGGCTGAAATCCTTTGGCTTTAAATAGTGTGAGGGAGGGCAGGGAGAATGGGAGGGAAAGAATCCTGGGTGGATAACTGTGCTATTGTTATGATCAGTGCTGGTTTAGCCTACGGCCCAGTAATTCCAAGAATACTGAGGGCCAATGTGGAGTAGTGGTTAGAACAGTGAACTGGGACTTAGGAGACCCAGATTCAAATCCTCCCCTCTGCCATGAAGCTGAGTGACCTTGGGCCAGTCACTGTCTCTCAGTCTAAACTACCTCACAGGGTTGTCATACAGAGGAGGAGAGGTCTGTGTGTCACCTCAAGCTGTTTGGAGAAATGGTAGCATATAAATGCATTAACAAATAGAACTAAATAAATTACAGGTGATTTTGAGTCCATAGTCTTTCATGACTACAAAATCTACCTTATCACACATTTTGGTGTGTGTATTGTCTAAATGTGGAAATGATGGCGACAGGGCTGCGATACGTCCAAATTTTCCCTGACATTACCGTGGAAAAAGCTCAAAAACATTTGGGGTGTCCTGGTTTTTACTTTTTGAAATATGGCAACACAGAATTCGAAATCTGCGGGACCAGAGATTCACAGAAGACTGGCCTAAATTTACGGACTATTTGGAGAGTAATTGTGATGATCATATTACGCTTGTAGGTTTGTGAGAAGTTTTGGAAGGTGGACTATTTGAAATATTGCAAAAAAAGGTAACGAGGGGGACTGTTAGTTAAGATAATCAAAGGCAATAGGAATTTAAGAAATGCAGAATAAGTGATAAGAACGGAAGACCATCAGAGGGGCTTATGGATTGTATAAGATGTGAAGTTCTATTGTATGAATGACAATATGTAAAAATTAATAAAAATTATATTTTTAAAAAATGAAATATGGCAACACTAGATGATGATAGCGAGGTGGGTGGCACTGTAGTCTAAACCATTGAGCCTAGGGCTTGCCAATCGTAAGGTTGGCGGTTTGAATCCCAGCGAGGGGCTGAGCTCCCGTTGTTCGGTCCCAGCTCCTGCCAACCTAGCAGTTCAAAAGCACGTCAAAGTGCAAGTAGATCAATAGGTACCGCTCCAGCAGGAAGGTAAATGGCGTTTCCATGCGCTGCTCTAGTTTTGCTAGAAGCGGCTTAGTCATGCTGGCCACATGACCCAGAAAAACTGTCTGTGGACAAACACCAGCTCCCTCGGCCTGAAAGCAAGATGAGCACCGCAACCCCAGAGTCATTCGCGACTGGACTTAACTGTCAGGGGTCCTTTACCTTTACCTTTTTAGATGATGATGATGAGGGCAAGGGAAGGATACAAATTTCTCTTTCCCCTGTTTACGCACATTTATCCTGGAGAATAATTGTGGTGCTCCACTGGCATGTGGGCTCAACAAGACTTGTTTCCATCCTAATCCACAGTGATTCCCTAGCAATTCTTGGAATTGGAGGAGGGGGAGAATCTTTGGTTCTATAGATCTGTCAAAAACACTTGAATAAATGAGTGTCTGAGAAGCATATTCTCAAGTGCCTGAGAGTCATTAACTGCATTGCAAAACCCTCATGAGAATTTTCCAGCTCAGAATCTCCTTGCTCACCCTTAGCATAATGATGATGATGTAAAAAAACTAATTATATTTTATTTGCCCATCAAAAGAAAAATATGACTTGCCCTGGGCAAGCAAGTGAGAGCAGCATCTCGCAAGCCTTCTTTAGAGACAAAAGTTGTACGGTGTGCAAAGCTTTCCATAAACCACTAGCTGTTTTATCTCTTCGGGGTGACATTTTCCTGCTTGAGGTTTCTGGTTTGAACCACACTGGAAAATGCTTGACTAAATGCATCCAGAAGTCACATATACAGTGTTAATAGTGCATGGCCATTCATTGTAGCTGTAGCCTCTTGATATCCTTAATGCTCCAAAATAGGGATGTTTGAAGATTTGATTTGGGTCAAATCCTGAACAAGACAGAGCAAAACTGGATATTGCTTTCCTCCAAATGGTGGCTCAAAAATGCACCAAGATGTGTGTGTGTTTGCGCCCCGAGGCCCCTCCCCTGAAATAACTTCACACTGACACGTAATTTTAGTTTAAGTTATTCGGCAAAATTTAGGCCACAACTTTATTGATTACAGCAAAGTGAGCGGTGTTGGCTTAGGCATTGGCAACAGACTATAACTGACTCCTGCCTCTCTGTTTGGAAGTCTGGAAGGGTAAACACCAAACGAGGGAGCAACATCGCTGAAGACCAACGAAGCTCACCCCTGTGGTCCTGGCATGGTCCTAGCCCCTCAAGCAGACTTCGGACAAGATCCAGGACCCCCAGATTCCTTTACCGGAATACCCTTCTTCATGGAGGGGCAGGTGATGGCCGCACCTCCCCTCCCACACACTTCAATAAGCCAATGCCCAACAGCCAAACCTTACAAAGTTGTGACGATTGCTAAGGGGGTAGGCGAAAACCAAGTGGCTACATCCAATCTGCCAAATGGAAAAATTCCTACCCAGCCCCTGCTCCAAAGCAGGAGACCCAATCCAAAGCAAGGACAAAGCAGCAGCACCTAAAATTAGGGAGGGAGGGCGGGTGATCGGTAGCGTGATGCAAGTTCCCTCAGTTATGCCGCACTGCTGCTTTTATAGGCCCTAAGAATCGTGTCAACTGCCTCGATTGGCCCAAACAGCCCGGGGCCCAACAGTTAAGGTTTGGGCCACGCCTGGCAACAACTCTCCCCATGGGGGTGGCTTAGGGGCCCGCGCGCAACCAGGACCCTCATTAAGGAGGATCCCATTACTCATGCAGAAGGAATCAGGTTTCCCCCCTACATTTCCAGGTGGGGCTGGGGAAGATTCTTGTCTTAATTCCTTATGAGCTTCTGCAAGTCAGTAGGCAGTACTGAGCTAGGTGGACCAATAGACTCCTTAGAAGGCAGCTTCCTCTGATGCAAAATAATAAATGAATATATTTCAAAAATACCCCCACCAAGAATATGTCGGAAATGCTCAGAAATGGGCTTAGAAACTGTATTTTCTAATTATATTTAAGTGGGTTCTTTATGCTTTAAAAATACTGCTAGATATGGAAATAGAATGGAATGGGATCAAAAATATGTGCAACTTGATTATTTAATAATAGAATGGAAATAGACTGATCCATCCATTTCAGAAGCTTTTTTTACAAATTGATATGGTCTCAAGCACTCTCGCCTCTCTCTTAGTTCTTGCTAACAGCTCTATTCTCAGAAAATATTGCAAGCCATCAGTCAGAAACGTGTGTGACGTGACCAGGCTGATTTAGCTGGATTTTCTCTCTCCTTCGGCATCTAATTCTTCTTTGCGGATTGATGTTTTTGCTTATGCTTTTATGGTTGTTTAATTATGTTTTACAAGCTGTTTTTTATACTGCTGACAAGCCAGTATACATTGAGGATCACAATGGAGGAAAGGCAAAGTATAAATATTCTAAATAAATAAGTGACACATTCATTTAAGAGTCTTTCTATAAAATCACAGGTGCCCCTCAAAAAAAGGAAAAGGGGGGGTGCAGGGAAGCCACTTACCTATAGCAAGTAAAGCATTTATCCAGGCAATGTACAGTTGGAAATATTTTGGAATTCTTAGTGTTCCACGAAGATTTCAGCCTTTGTGAATTCCACATTAATGTGCAGAACAGAAACTCACTGGGATATACTGAATGTTCTGACACCATTCTCAGCTCAAAAAAAAGTAGCAGCAATTATTATTATTATTATTATTATGGCTTCCAACAAAGATTTAAAATACATTAAAATGTCACACATTAAAAACAAAATATTAAAAACACGATAAAACATCAATCATTAAAAATTTCCCTAAACAGTGCTGCCTTCAGATGTCTTCTAAATGTCAGGTAGTTGTTTATCTCTTTGACATCTGATGGGAGGGCGTTCCACAGGGCGGGTGCTACTACCGAGAAGGCCCTCTGCGTGTGTGTTTATTTTTAAAAAATTAAAAATGCATTGCTTTGAGGAAAGCTGTTTAAATATAAATTTTCATGAGGATTAAACAAAACCACAGCTTAATGTGCCAGTGAATTTATCCTGCAAAAGTGACATGGACTAATTATGAACCCTCTCTATTGGTTCATTTTGACCTTTCAAGCCATCACTGCACAGCCTCCAAATTTCCTCAGATGAAAACAGGAACGTATCTTACATCAGTTCCACTGTCCTCAGAGGCTGCGGCAGGGATGCAGGCGCAGCAGCCGAATGAAGCAAGCTGGAGCCAAGTGACCATAACGGCCACTCTTAGCGCTTGCAACCCCTCGCAGCCATGACAGCAGCCTCACAGACAGGCCCCGCCCCTTCTCTCCCTCACCCACCGCTGTCTTTATGGGAGACGGAATGACTGGGACAACCCAGTGAGAAGGGGGAGTGTACAAATAATAAATATTGTAGTTGTTGTTAGAAGAATTTAAGGTCTCAAATATATACTAAATTAAATGTTCATAAAGAAAAGCAATGACAAACCTAGA